GACTCGTGAGAAGGGAATTGTCCAAAAGTTCTCCAACAGGCTCAACGAGTGTGGTGGAGGGGAAATAGCGCAAACTCACTGCTGACGGAGGTCTTGCTGAAAGGTGGTTCCAAGGAGGGCAGGGTGTGGATCTGGACCTTGAGACGGAGTCGGGGGTGCTGACAAGGTGGGTCTTTTGGTGGAGCAGAAACAGGCTGAGTGCCAACCAGCCACAGGCAGACAAGGAACAGAAAACAGGCAAGCAATGCTCGTAGTCGGGGACAGAAGGCTGGTGGATTTACCAGGGCAGAGACGTGAGGCGAAGGTCGGAGGCAAATCGGGTCGATACCAGGTAAGCAGTCCAGTAACAAATACTGGAGAGTCAGGCATGAGAGCGAAGACAATCTGGCAAAGAGTGAGTGGACCACAGGAATATATATTGGGTTGATTGGGAATGAGCTGCAGCTGAGAGTCCAGGTGTACAGAGTTGGCTGATGAGGTGGGTGTGGCTGATTAGCAGGAGTGGAGCAGGGGTGTGGTGAATGGAAATTTACCAGCAGCAGGAGGCTAACAGAGCAGATTTGTGACAATAACCATTAGTGATTTATGCCTTTTGATGCCATAAATCACCATGAGATGCATTCTCTTTGACATCAAAGTATACAGAGTATAGTTTTCCTGCAGGCAGTTGTTTGCTTTTATTGTTTAAAGTTCTGCAAGTTTACCATGAATGTGTTAATGAGTGTTTTTGGACTGTCTAAAATAAAAAAATATTGAGTGTTTAATTCTGTTTGGAGTCCATGTTTTCCTGTTGTTTTTTTATGATAATTTCACATGAACAAAATATGTTTGTAGCCAACTCTCTGCTACTACCGGGTTTGTTTGTGGGAGACACATATATTTATTGTACACAGTACAAAGACAAGTCGTCACCGAATGAAGGAACTCAATAGGTTATCTAATATGATGACGGATATTATGATCACCGTCGCTGCCGCCTCTAGATCCAGCCTCACTGGGGGAGAGAGCAGAACAGACATGAGTATATATATTCAGTAACTCATTAATCTCCCCACCCACAGCTGTGTCGGTCCCCGCGATTGATTCCCCCCGCCCCCTTGTTTGCAGCCGACGCCAAGCCACGGCCCCTTCACACCACATATCCTCACCACCAAACAGAGGGTGAATAAGCACCACAGGAGATAGAGGAACGTAGATCGCCCGCTTGATGATAGACACTCCTTCTCCACTGTGCTGTACCTCCCCTCTCTTCCCCTCTCTTCAAGAACTTGCCACTGAGGTACCCTTCTCCTGGAACAAAACGGCCCCCTGTTCGATGCATCAGTCTGCAAGACAAAAGGAATGTTAAAAAGGCTCCCTGCAGAGAGCCTTTTTAACCCTGTCGTCTGGCACTGTCATCTGGCACTGCTCGGTCCACTGGACCGGATCTAATCTGAAGCACCCTTTCGAGTGAGGTCGATCAGGGGACTGGTCAGCTCAGAGAAGGCAGGGATGAACCGCCTAAAGTAGCCAGCCAGTCTCAGGAATGCTCTCACCTGCTTTTTGGTCTCCAATAGTGATAGCCTCCATCTTTTCCACCTGTGGGCACACCTGCCCACCTGCTCGCCTAAGTGGTACCCCAAACAACCCAAAAGGAAGTGTTTTGAATTGGAACAACCCGTACCGTGGAGAAGGCCGATTTTTCCATAGACTCTGGAGATAAATCCAGAAAAAAAACGAGCTGTGCCTAGCCGATCTAGGAGCTCGTTGAACCAAGGCATTGGATATGCATCAAACTTTGACACGTCATTCACCTTGCGGTAGTCAACATAGAACCAAATGGACCCATTAGACTTGTGAACAAGTACAATGGGACTAGACCAGCCTCTTCTATTACCCCTATTTCCAACATATACTTTAATTTCTCCTGAACAATATTGCATTTGTGTTCAGATAACCTATATGAAAGCGACCTAACCGTCACGCCTGGGGAAGTTTCAATGTGGTGATTAATAAGCGATGTGTAGGGGAGAGAAGACAGGGTGTCAGTCCGGTCCCAGCTCACCCTCCTGGATTACTGACGTCACCAGGCGCACCTCATTCCAGATTTTGGGAGATTGAGGTGATAAATCTGTGCCGCGCACAGATTTTGTACAGCTGCTGCTGAGATTCCTGGGCCTGAAGCAAATTCTCCCTTGAAATCTGCCCCAGTGTATGGAGTTTTGCACTTATGCCAATAACATATTGAATCTAAGTTTTACTGGTGCTTGGACCCTCCTCCCAGTTTTTTTAATTAGGTCCTATACGCCCCTAGGCCACCTAACAAACAACAGTTCAAATGGGGAAAACCCTCTGGAGGCCTAAGGACCCTCCCGTACTGTGAATAATGGAGGGTCGAGCCATTTATCCCAATTTCGACTATCCTCGTGCATGAACTTGTGCAGCATGGACTTTAACATCCTATTAAACCTCTCCACTAGCCCATCGGTCTGGGAATGATACACACTGGTACAAATAGATTTAACCCCCAGTAATATGGAGTAAGATCGCTATCAGATCGCTATGGTTAGAATCATGAACACATCTTTTTGAGAGCGATCTTACTCCATACAGTAACCCATAAAGTTTGCATAACGTACGTGACATAAAGGCAGTGCCTTGACCAGTTAGAATCTCTTTTGGGATTCCAACTCGGGAGAGTAATTGTCACTGCCTCAGTATCCCGAGGCAGTGATCAGTAATCTATAGTAATCTACAATGACTAATGCAAATCGGTATCTCTGTGCACTACTGTCTGTCTCTTGGGGTGGCCGGAGGATTAACACGACAGGAGGCACACCACTGACATACATCCGGGTGAATGCCCGGCCAATAAAAACGAGCCATGAGCTGGTCACGTGTTTCATCGCAGCTATAGGGCTGTGATGAGTCCCCTGGAAATTGCTGGCACTCCGCACCGGACTCCATTATTCTCTGCTACTACTGAGTGTGTTTGTAGGAGACACACACGAGTATGACAGAACAACGTATATTCATTGTACACAAACATATACAAAGACAAGTCTCCACCGAGTTACGGAACTCAATAGGGTATCTAATATGACGGCACAACTGGATATCAGGATCACCCACCCAGAGCAGAACAGACATGAGTGTGTATACTTAGTTACTCATTAATCTCCCCATCCATAGCTGCATCGGTCCCCGCGATTGAGCCGCCGCCAAGCCACGCCTCCTTCACACCACAATATTGTGGTATTTCATGAAGTCATTATATTGAAGTCATTATTTTGACATCCTAGCCTATTCAACTTTTGAAAAGATATACCAAATGTAGAAAATGTAAATATTACATTTTTATTTTCAAACATACTGCAAGACCAAATGCATTGTATGCCAAATTGAATACATAGAAAAGGGGGTTAGGGATACTGTGATGCGTGTTCACATTTCATGCTGCAGACAATTAAGCGTTGTGTGTATTAGTGTTTAATGCTTGTAAGTAAAATGTAATTGAAGCTCTGTCAGTGTTTTTCTGCATGCGAGAGATAGGGATGAACTCTAACAAGAGTGCTGGGATAACCTGCCGCAGTCAGCAAGTTCATCAGCTTCATAAGGTCTTTCACCATCTCATCTGCCCTAAACCTGAATGGACACACACACACGTATACTGCTGCACACCGAGTCAACCTCTTTAGCACCCCTTTACCCTCTCTTTCATCATCCTTCATCTTTGGAAAGAGTGCTGTTCACTAAATATCTTTATCTTGACAGTCCTGATACAGGTGATGTGTATATGTGTATATGTGTATATGTGTGCATGTGCATGTGTGTGTGTGTAGCATTGAATCACATGTCTTTAATCTGACTGTCATGGGTACTGTTCCCATGCTGGTGCGACCTCCTCTCTTCCCCTACCGTCAGGGTCCCATTAGGGGTTAATGGTCTAATAAAGAATACGTCCCTGGCTATCGGCTTATTTCTGCTGAGACACAGTGGATTCCTGTAATACCTTGGAAAAAAGAGATTTCCCCTGGGCACAAAGTTTTGTGTGTGTGTGTGTGTGTGTGTTTGTGTGTGCATGCGGATGGCTGTATTTTGAGAGGGATGGGGCTTTCTCTCTCTCTCACACACATTTTCTGATTCTGTTCAAGTACTGGCCACAGGGGAGTTCGTACATTGAGGGACAACCAATGTGACAGAATCTCTCTCGTCATTGCTCCCGAGTCCTGCGCTATGCTGATTCTGTGGGAGGGCCGTCAAATACGACAGGAGAGTCTCCATGGACATTATTCAACCAATTATTCACAGAAATTAATCAAAAGATTGGTGGTCTTGGTAACAGCCAAACATGTTATCTAATGCATTTCAATTGCAATGCAGTTTTCATGGCTGTGTTATTCATTTTTTAAGTTCAAGTTGGTAGGAAGGAGTCCATTAGAGCTGCTTTGGGTAAGTTTGAGAGTTGTAAAGAGAGCGAGCAGAAAAGGGCACAAATTAAACAACCCACAAAAAAAACCTCCCTCCCTCCATTTCTCCACAATTGGAAAGTATTGCATTCAGACAACTATGGTGGAGCTATAATAACACTGTGCACCTGAATGTGATTGACTACAAATTAGGGAAGAGATGCCCATATTGGTCAGAAATGGGGTCTATTATTTAAAGTGTCACAATGTGTAAAGTTCTTACATTGAAGAACACATGTACAATGTTTGTCCATACCTAAGTAAGAGGAAGCACACAACACATTCTATTCCAACTTCAAATAGATTTTTGATAGGCATGGACCCATAATCTTCAGTTTACAAGACAAAAACTTTACCACCTGATCAACGCTGCACACAATAAACAAACGTTATGCGTAACTTCTTTTCTTAGTTAAATTGGATTTTCTTATGGACCACAAAAATATCATCAATGTCAATGTGTACATTTTTGACATTGCAGAATATGTAGGTAATGTTTTTTTTTCCATACCCAAAGAGAAAAGACAATAGTGTACATAATGTAGCACATAGTGTAGACCACATGGCATTTCATGTTCAATAAGACATTGATAGGGATGAATGAACCATGAACGACCATGAACCCATGGACTTTGGTTTACAAGACCAAAGCCTTAACATTTGGCTATCGCGCCACAGAACAGATGAAAGCTGTGCTTTTTAACTTTTTTTATTTTTTTCTTACTTTCATTGGATTTCTTTATAGAGGACAAAAATATCACCAATCTCAATGTGTAAGACTTGTAGGTTTTTGGTTGTAGTTTCCAATCAAAAGGCAACAAGGGAAGTGATGTAAGTCTTCACAGCTTTCCTAGAGATAAGAAGAGGAGAAAGGAGTGGGAAAATGCTTGTGGACAAATACAACTTCCGAAAGACCCGTGGCTGTGTTCTCGCCAACAACAGCTGGTAAGGGACCTCACAGGTGCTACTGGTTATAAGCAAAGACTAAAAACAAATGCCGTGCCTACAATGTTCTCCCACAAGGAGTCTAATCACCCTTGGATAGCGGGTGAAATCCGCTCTAAGAAACATCAAAGACAGGAGACACTGGATGCTCTTCTGCTAGGATGTGAACAACCACTCTTACAGCTGCAGCTTCTGAAGGCGAACCATGTGATGTGACGTCACTACCCAGACTGTATTGCGACGTAAACAATAATGGCGGCCTACGAATGAAATGATTGTTTAAAATGTTATACAAAATAAGACATCTAGAGAGTTATCACATTTATATAGCTGATGCCAACGTTAATCAAATAAGGCCTACAAGTCTTCATAGTCGGGGATCCTTTTAAGAAACTATCTGCTAACCGCCTATCTGCTAGGCGAGTGAACCTATAGACATGTAACACTACCTATACAGACCTATAAGACACATTAGAAAAGATACATTAGAAAAACTGATGGTAAGCAAACAGAATTTGACACACATTACAAGGATGTATTTCCTTGCACAAAATGCATAACTGCAATTCCCCCGAGGTCAAGTGCAGAGGGGAAGACAACGAGGGCAAGTTGAACAGCTAATGAGACGCAGCCATAGTTTGTCCATACGCGAGTGTAAAGAGGCAACACAGTGTAGACCATGTGGCATTACATACACAAATCGACGTTGTTAGGCATGGATGTGTTTTGGACCTATGGTCTTCAGTTTACCAGGCCACACAGTAGATGACTGTGCTTTTCAACTTTTTCCTTACTTTCATTGGGTTACAAAAAAATCGATAATCTCAATGTGTAAGGTATTTACATGGCAGAATATGAAGGCCATATTGTCCACATTGGAGTGTAAAGAGAAAGCACAAAAGCACATTGCATGTTGAAAGACATGGATGGGGTTGGAACCCAGTCATCGGTTTACGAAAACCACAAATTACCACTTGGCCACCTCAGTACACGGTAGACACACCTTGTGCTTTTCAACTTTTTTCTGTACTTTCATTCGATTTCTTTATCGTGGTTAAGAATATTGTCAATCTCAGTATTTCAATGTGTAAAGTATTCACATAACAGAATATGAAGCAATTTTTGTCCACACCCGAGTGTAATGAATAAGCACCACTTTGCATTTTATGTTCAAATCGATGTTAATAGGTGTGGTTTAAACGCATGATCTTCAGTTTTCATTAGATTTCTTTATGGATGTAAAGAATGTCGTCAATCCCAGTATTTTTATGTGTGAAGTCTTCCCTTGCTGAATATTAAGTCAAGTGTGTTTGTCCATACTCGAGTGTAAAGAGAATGCACATGGTGTAGAACACATAGCTCTTCATGTTCAAATAGACTTTTATATAACAATAATAACTGTATTTATATAGCACCTTTCAAAAACGTGTTACAAAGTGCTGTACAACACAATTAAAACAGGTCAAGTACAGTGTCCTGACAGCAACATCGTAAAACCACCAGGAGAAATAAAATTGGACTTACAATTAAAATTACCCACCCAACAACAGTAATAAAACACAGTTAAAACAAAATTAAAACAAAAATTAAAACAACATTAAAACAACATTAGGAGAAGGCCAACCGATAAAAGTGAGTCTTAAGAAGAGGGGCTCACGGCCAATCCGAAGTAGTGTGCAGTTGGACGGAGGGAGGTACGGTATCTGGGGTACCACTTGGGCGGCGGGCAGGTGCGTCCGCAGATAGATAAGACAGCAGCGATTGCAGCCTGCCCAAGGCCCAAGACAAAAAAAGAGGTGCGGCAGTTTTTGGGACTGGCCAGCTATTACCGGCGATTTATTCCAAACTTCGCGTAGCTGACCAGCCCCTTGATCGACCTCACCTGAAAGGGTGCCTCAGATCCGGTCCAGTGCCAGGAGTCGCTTGAGAGGGTAAAGCAGGCCCTCTGTGGGGAGCCCCTCCTCCACACACCTAACTTCTCTCTCCCTTTTGTCTTGCAGACTGATGCGTCGGGCAGAGGGCTGGGGGCCGTCCTGTCCCAGCAGGTACGGGGCGTCGACCGCCCGGTGTTGTACATCAGCCGGAAGCTGTCCGAAATGGAGGCCAGGTACAGCACCGTGGAAAGGGAGTGCCTGGCCATCCGGTGGGCGGTCGATGCGCTGCGGTATTACCTGCTGGGGCGCCCATTCACCCTCTGCTCGGACCACGCTCCCCTCCAGTGGCTCCACCGCATGAAAGATGTTAACAACCGGATCACCCGGTGGTATCTGGCACTGCAGCCATTTAACTTCCGGGTGATCCATGGGCCAGGGGCGCAGATGGCTGTGGCCGACTTCCTTTCCCGTTCCCATGGGGAGGTGGGGGGGGAGTGGGTTAGGCCGGATGGCTCCCCGGCCTAAATCAGGCAGTGGAGGTATGTGGGGGTGCGTGGTGCATCAGCCGCAAGGGGGAGCTGTGGAGGGGGCTCAGGAGAGCAGCGCCAGGTGAGAGTGATTGGCACACCTGTGTCCCGTTGAAGCTAATCACTCTCTCCCTTTTTAATGCAGTAGCGTGCTGGACCCGGGAGGACCGGACCTGGACACACGGGTTGCCGACGGAGCCAGAGCTGGGCCCGTGGTGACGCTAGTGTGCCCGATTGCAATTGTGTGTATAAATAAATGTGTTGAAACGTGGCAGAGTGAGTCATTCCTTCAAGAGAACCCCAGTGGCATCGTACAACGCCACAAATACTTAATCTATTTGGTATTAACGGGGTAAAAATGGCTCAGCTTAAAGCAATTTCTGTAATTGCTGCCCAGTAGCGTATAAGTAGCAGTGTTGATTGGCATAAACCCTGGGAACAAACAAACACCAATGGAAGCCAGTAAAAGAACCCGAATACCCAACTGGACAGAGGAACAATGTTTACTCTTAGCTCAGTTAGTTGACGAGCGTGAAGCAGTTTTAAGAGGAAGATTTGGCCCCGGTGTTACAGTGCAAGCCAAGAGGCAGGCGTGGGTGTATATAGCGCAGCAGATTAACGCCCCTCTGGTTGGGCGCACCAGTGAGGACTGCGAAAAGCGGTGGTATGTGTTGCAGTCTAAAGCGAGAGGGGTGATTGCAGCACACAAACAGGGCTTCTTCACAAACAGGTGAGTGGAACAGGTGTAAGGAAGCCCACTCTGGGACACATTCCTCCCCTGTGGAGGGGGACTTTCTCCATTATCATCCTCGTCTTCATCACCGTCACTGTCCTCGAGAGGTTCTGGGATTTGTCTGGCTTTTGTGACATGCTGGCTCTATGCATGAAACATGAAATGGGGGAGACAACGCTGTTTTACAATAATAAAGAATTTGTTAAAGTAATAAGATAATTTTAACAGAATTAAATAGGATAAAGAAGTGTGGTGTAAGTCAGTTAAATGTAAGTAATCAAAAGTGTCATGCAAAGTCAGTCTATGGGTAACAAAACAAAGGACAAACGAAGCCAAAACGCCGGGAGGAGGGAGCAGCCCCGACTGTTGGAAATGCAGGGCTTTTATCCTGCTGCCAATCAGGCACACCTGAACTGCATCACCTATTAAAGGGAAAGAGAGAGGACAGGCAAACCAAACAGCAAGGGCGGAGTCAAAGACTCCAGGGTCGTCACATCCCCCCCCTTAAGACAGAAGCCCACCTAACTGGGATTCTGCACTTATGGTATTAAACATAACAAAATAACAAAACCCAAAATACATAACCACTACAAATCCCCTCAACCAACACCAGTTACATCGACCCAACACTCATACCGGGTCAACTAGAAACCCCCCTATACACACACACACACTCACCACTCCTCATGCTCACCCAACCTCCTGACCCCCTGGAAAAGTAATCTAAGAGGGACAGGGGCATAGAGACAAGAGAGGAGAGAAATTAGTGAAGGTATGCAAACAACCAACTATCCCACCACATCCGGGGCGCGAGATAACGCATCTGCCATTACATTGTCCATGCCTTTAATGTGGCGAATCTGTAGATTGTAAGGTTGCAAAAACAACGGCCAACGCATCAGGCGCTGATTTGGATTCTGTAATGAGTGCAGAAAAGTCAACGGATTGTGATCCGAAAACACAACCACAGGATCAACCCCTCCACCTACATTAGTGGTGGATTTCCTCGTTCGTTTGCGCGAACTAGTTCGCGTCGTTCAGTTCGCCATGAAGAGTCGTTCGTTCGTTCGTTCGTTCGTTCGTGTTTCCGGTAGCGCTGAATCATTCACTGACTCGTTCAGTCGTTCAGTCGTTCACTTAGCTCCTCCCTCGTTCGCGAATCACTAACGACTCGGCTCAGGGCTGTCATTCGCGAACGGCGACTGCCAGCCGAGTCGGTCAGACTCGGCTCCTCCTCGTTCACACAACATTCAAACGAATCACGAATGCAGCTGAGTCGGTCTCGGACTCCCTCGTTCTTCTCATTTACTAACTAATCATGAAATCACGATTCACAATCGTGCAATGGTGCTTGATGGCGTTAATAAATGTGTTAATAGCAAATACAACATTGTGTCTGGTTGAATATGTTAACATATGCATTTCATTTGAGTTCAACAGATTTATTTAATGTATGCATAATGACATGTCAGGATCAAAATGCCCCGTTCCCCCAATTCAACGTAACGTTAGACAAACCCGCAGCGCGATGTGTGTGTGCGTGTGTGGGGGGGGGGGGCGTAGTAGATTATTGGATGTTTAATATATCAGCA